ATCAACATGCCTCCTCAGATTTACTCCAACCGACTCAAAAAGGTTCTCGATAGAATTTGCATGCTCCCTGAATAAGACCTGGACAGCAAGCGGACTGAGAACTCGGCAACACATCGACCATCTGTCAATGGCCATGGAGTGTATATTGCGCTTAGGAGACATTCACAACAAACGCCTTTGACGTATGAGCGGGGTACCAACGACCTTCTTTGTAACTTCTGAGAATGAAATAGATCAACAAAGACCTTGATATGGCGCAGCATAGGGCGGTGCCATGTCAGGGAGGTCTAGAACATGAGACCATGATCGCTTTGGGAAGGTATGCACAGTGAACGCATGTGGCGCGACTGGTTTTCGCAAATTGTGAAAACGTTCTTTAGGTCAACATCTATGCAATTTGCAAATTCCACAGAAACTGTTGAACACCAATGATTGCGTAAGGGTATCTGTATTGGGCGTCTACTTCGCTTCCTTCTCTGCCCTCCCTTTTGTCTTTCCATATGCACCACCAGCCAGTTTCCGCATCTCCAGCGCCCTCTTGTACGGTGGTGCAGTAGGTGGTTGCACGGGATCCAAACTGACCCTGTCCTTGGGTAGATGATACGTTGCATCCGAATCGTACGCCGATAGATCACCACAAGCCAGGAACGGTGCTATCCATCGCTGTCCGCCTTCCTCGATGTCGTGTTCATCTTCAGTCTCAGAACCTAGATCAATCTCAATAGCCCCGTCCTCTCGAACACGTCGAGTGTCCTTCTTCTCCTGTTTCTGTGTGTCCGAAAGTGCTGGGGTAGGCAGTTGCGTCCCCGCGCCGAGCGGCTTGTCCAAACTAGCAGTGAAACCTTCTGGTGGACAAAAGCCCTCGCATACAACGAACGCCTCGATACTACTTGCACGACTGCTCCTAGGTTTCGCTACACGCACCCTTTCAAACACAATCTTCAACTGTGCGAACAGCAGATCGACATCCTTGCCTCGAAAGATCTTGGCTACGAACTTGCCCCCAGGTTTCAGCACGCAGAGAGCGAGGTTGAGCGCCGCCCATAAGAGCTGGCTTTGTACGTAAATGTCTAGATCGTGCAGGCCGGTGACATCGGGCGCGCCGTCCGAGATGACAAGGTCAACGGGGGATGAGCCTTGAGGTGCGGCGGGGTCGTATGTGTCTGGATCAAGGGCCTTGAGCATCAGAGGAATGGTGGAGGGGTGAGTAATGTCTGCACGCATCGTTGTTACACCCTCGAGGGGGCTCATAGGCTGGAGATCGATGGCTACGATGCGAACGCCTTCTCTAGGTTTTGGTTTGTCTTCCACTTTTACTTCCGATGGAGGGGTTGCCTGCGTAGTTGACTCTTTCTTGTCAAGACCCAGTACGTAACTTCTTGCGGCAGCTTGCTTATCTTGCCAACCTGCTCGTCCAAACTTCTCCCCTTTGATGAGTACGCGTGAGAGTACTTGACTCCAACTTCCTGGTGCGGCGCATAGATCGACAACTCGCGTGACTCCTTCGAACAGGTTGAATTCTTCATCTAATTGGAGAAGTTTGTAGGCTGATCTGGCTCGCCATCCTTCTTCTTTTGCCAGACGGTAGTAGGCATCTCTCTTGTCCTTGGATGATTTTCCCATATTTGTCTGATACTGCTATCCCTGACTCTTTCTGTTTTCCACTGTGATTTTGGTTCTCTACCCCCCGCGATGCGACCAAGTTGACTTCTGTGAGAAATACGCAACCACTCTTGACCAATTTATCCACCTAATTTTGTCCTACTCTTTCTACCTCGTGCTGATTACACAGACAATGCAGATCAGAAAAACGCCGATTAACGAGTGCGAGTCATGCACGTGAAGTGTGGGAAAGTGCTGCTCAGGCTAGAGTGATGTGGGGCACCCCCGAGGCCCCGAACGCCGAAAGTTTTCCAAAAAGTTCGCGCGCGCATCCATTGCACGACGAAACTCAATCGTTCAACATCCACGATGAAGCGTCCTAATACCGCCCCGCAGAAGCCGTCGCAAAAGGCGCACAAACGCCAAAAAGTCGAGCGTACGAAAGCAGCGCCCTTTCCGAAACCTTTCCCTTCGTCGACGAAAGCCAAGCGCCGGGTGCAACTCAACGAGCTAGGATGGAAACCCGTGTCTATGCCCGATCGGTTGGACGATGTCGAAGGCTTCTATGGGCTCGAAGAGATTGACGATGTTGAGATCGTCAAAGACCCAGTTACTGGAAATCTTACCTTCGAGACTACCAAGACAGAAGAAGAGGTGGCACAAGATGTAGAGGAAGCATGGCAGCGGGAAGAAGACGAGGCAAAACGCCTGGAGGCGATAACTTTTGGGGATGGCGAGGCAGATGGAAAAGAAGACGCTATACAAGCAGACGCTACACAAGAACCAGCGCAGGAGGAGAACGAAGATGTCGCATGGGAGGGCTTTAGCGATGAAGAGGATGCGCAAACGACGGCACCCGCGCAGGCGGCAGATCCAAATGCCACGGATGTCGCAGATGCGGCTACCACCAATGGCGAACCAGAAGTGAAGAAACTTACAAAGACCGAGAAAAAGAAGAGGGCCAAGGAAGCAAAGCTCAAGAAACAAGAAGAGGAAAAGGCCAAGGCAGAACTACCGACCCCAGATGATGCCGAGGAGGAAGAGGACGAGGACGATGAGGACGAAGAGGACGAAGTCGAAGACCGCGAAGACGGCGAAACCTTCGGACCTGGCGCATTCGATATTTTGGCGAACCAGCCCGACGACGACGATGACGAGACAGATGTGCGCGCATGGAACGAATTGGATCTCTCCGAAGAGATGCTAGGCGCATTAGCAAAGCTAAAGTTCTCGAAACCCACTGGTATCCAAGCGTCTACAATACCGGAGATCATGGCAGGAAGAGACGTTATTGGCAAGGCCTCGACAGGTTCGGGTAAAACACTCGCTTTTGGTATCCCAGTCATAGAGTCCTGGCTTGCTGCTCGATCGACAGCCAAAGATCCAGAGGACAAAGCACCCATCGCACTGATCATTGCGCCAACACGAGAACTTGCGCATCAGATCAACGCTCACTTGATCGCTCTCTGCGCGAAGGGTGACTTCGACTCCCCGTACATCGCGTCAATTACGGGTGGTCTGTCCGTTCAGAAGCAGCGCAGGCAACTGGAAAAGGCAGACATCGTTGTCGGTACGCCAGGACGACTGTGGGAGGTCATTAGCGGTGGTCAAGGCCTGCTGCCTAAATTCAAGCAGATCAAATTCCTCGTTGTTGATGAAGCTGATCGCTTGTTGAGCGAAGGGCATTTCAAGGAAATGGGAGAGATTCTCAAAGTCTTGGAGCCTGACGACGAGCCCAATGAGAATGGTGACGAGGAACCAGCGCCAGAAACCCAACGCCAAACTCTTGTGTTTTCAGCGACTTTCGGAAAGGACTTGCAACGAAAGCTCGCTGGCAAGACTAAATATAGCGGAGATCTCATGAGCCAACAACAGTCTATGGAATATTTGCTCAAGAAACTCCGGTTCCGCGAAGAGAAGCCGATGTTCGTTGACGCGAACCCGACTTCGCAGATGGCCAGCAAGCTGCAGGAGGGACTCATCGAATGTGCCGGAACTGAGAAGGATCTTTATCTCTATTCTCTACTAATGTTCTACACAAAGAAGCGCGCTCTAGTCTTCACCAACTCAATCTCTGCGGTCCGTCGCATAACACCGTTCCTGACAAACCTGGCTCTGCCAGCTTTACCACTACATTCGAACATGCCCCAGAAAGCTCGTTTACGATCGATCGAACGGTTCAAGGAGCGACCTGGATCCATCTTGGTTGCTACAGACGTTGCTGCCAGAGGTCTTGACATACCCCAGATTGACTTGGTCATACACTACCATCTGCCTCGCGCCGCCGATACATATGTCCATCGATCAGGACGTACCGCACGTGCAGATGCTTCAGGTTCCAGTATCTTAATATGTGCTCCTGAGGAAGTCGCGGGTGTACGAAGGCTTATTGCTAAGGTCCATGCACGCGCCAGCGATGCTCCCAAATCCAAGAAGACGGCCTTCTTCATCCGTACCCTGGACATCGACCGCCGCATCGTCTCGCGCTTGAAGCCACGTGCTACCATCTCGAAAAAGCTATCTGACACCGTCATCGCAAAAGAGAAAAAGCATAGCGAGGACGACGTACTACGACGCGCTGCCGAAGACCTTGGTGTCGACTATGACAGTGAAGAGTTCGAGAAAGAAGCACCAGGTAAGAGAGGTCGTGGAAGCGGCCGGAAGAAGAAGGAAAAGGAAGCGAGCGAGATGACAAAAGCAGAGATGCAATCGCTGCGGGCAGAGCTCAAGCATCTCCTGAGTCAGAGGATCAACACTGGTGTCAGTGCGAGATATCTGACGAGTGGCGGCATTGATGTCGATGCGCTTGTGGCCGGAGAGGGCAACATGGAGTTCTTGGGTAACCTAGATGGACTTGGATTTGACGAAGTTGCTGAATAGTTCTCGCTCTATTTGGACGATACCCACCAATGTAGATATGCGTCACCGCCTTACATTACGAAGTTGCAATCTCTTCATGGTGTCAAAATTTCTGGGCCTCTCATGACTTTTTTGCTAGTATATTGTGGAAGGGCGGACGGCAATCCCAATAACCCAATTTACAAACAACAGATTCTTATAACATTCTCGCTATTCTAACCCTTTTATTCCTAAGCACATTTGTTCGACAAGCTCTAGGGGCGCTCTGTGTGCTTCTGATAACGTAGGGGTTCTCGTACGCCAGAAGCCAAGAAGAGTATGACGAGTTGTGTGTCTGATGGGCAGAGGGAAACTCAATGAAAATAAGGAATGACGTAACATGTGCCATTAGACCTCCCACTCGTATAGTGAGATCTGTTGCTTTAGTCGGCACTTCCCAAAGAAGCTGCATCCGATCTTAAATAGTTACAGGACAAAACACCCGTAAGCTCAGACCAGAATACATGCCTATTCAACGCATGACACACGAGAACGCAGACATGGAGCCCGAAAACGACGGAGACACGGCGCCTCCGGACGCAAAACGTGGCCCAGTACCTGAAAACAGCCATGCTGACACTGCAGACGACCTCGACTCAATGTCGCGCGAAGTCGCTGATAGTCTCCAACATACTCGTGCCCTCTTCCTCCAGGACCTGGTAACGATACTCGTCATTTATACAGCATCGCTGTTTACAGGCCACCACTTCCTTGTTTCACTCTTCTTCATGCTCCTTCTAGGACTTGCTGCCGAGATGAGACTGCAGAACATGAAACAGAACTTCGAGAAGGCAATCACCGCTATACGCCTGGGCTACGACGCTACGATCGAGAACGGCAATGCAACCATGAAGGTCTGTTTCGAAGGCAACGAAGCGATCAAAGATCTGGCCCAGAGTTCGCTCGATACAGTATTCGATTCCCAGAAAGCGTTGTACAAGAGCGGAGAAGCCTTCGTCCAGTTGAAGGCAATTCGAAAGAGAGACGTTCTCATCTTACGCAAACAAGCGAATGAGATGCGCCTAGGGTGCTTCCAGGTGTACTTGAGTATCTACGAAGGCCTCATCGATGTGATCGAGCAAATTGTCAACAAGGTCAAAACTACCACGCAACCGAAAGTCAAGGGCACGAAAAGAAACAATAAAAACCATAATGAAGGCTTCCAGAACAACCTAACACACCCTCTAGAGGGCGTAGCTGCCGAGCTGAAACAACGACAGTGGACAACTAAGAAACAGATCGTTGTGGCGGAGAAGATCAAGGCTATACTCGAACGCGACGGCTTACTCCCAGACGAGATTGATCGACTGGTCAAAGAGGCGGAGGGCAATTTCCAGCATTCGCAGGACGCATCACTTGCTCAGCGACCAGCAGACTCTCATGCACCCAACACTGGAGTTTTGCCATCGCCGCTCAGGATGGATATGGATGGAAAGCTGGCAAGGCATTACGAGGATTTGGACAAGTGGTTCCAGGGCTTGCATGACCGGCCCGTTGCCAAAGACGAGTGAAGAGGGAGATAATACGGGAGGTATCGCCGCTGTATCCCATTATCATCTAGGTCGCATAGAATGTCTGCAGAAATTCCGAACTAGGAGTTATGCACACCTGATTGCAACAATATATTCTGCTATTCACTATTATAGATAGACCTTTGGTGAAGAGAATGTCCACCATCACATGCCGCGCATCAGCTTCAGGGTTCCCTGACGGAAGGTTGCACTTGAAAATACAGGTGTTTCTGTGAAGGTTCATCTCCTGCGACAGCCAGGTTTCCACGATGAGCTCCATCGAGTTCAGCGCGAAGACCAGAAGAAGTCTAACCGGGGTTCTGGCGTCTTGGCAAAGGGTGACGTGTGCGTCTACGCGCCGCTCGACGCGATGGAAGCCCGCGACTCTTTCTTATCAACGTGCAAAGCCTGATATCAAAATTGCAATTGGTTAGACGTATGTTTGGATACAACAACGCGAGCATGAAATTTGTTTCTTAATCAAAACGTCTTGTCTGTGGTCTTTTCCTCCTAGTGTCGGGTTGACGCGCCATCTTCTTTCACCAGGAGCGGCTAATAAGGCTTTTTGTTTAGCTGAGCATTCCTACCTTGTCTTCGAAGAAGGATGTCTAAAACGCAGCCTAGAGCCAGTGCTGCAAAAATCTTCAACATTGACTTCATATATATCTCTACGGTATGCAGCAAACAGGTAGCTCTCTACTTCGGTGGTAAAGTATCCTGGATCAGAAGGGGCTCGATTTGTTTTAGCTTTTCTCAGCCTCATGCACGTTCCGTACTCGGGGATGTGCTGACATGCTCCCTGATTGGTCGAGTACCCACCGGTCATCCTAAGAACATCCAAGTCCTCAGCTTTGGCCCCATACACGATCACTTCGTATATCTAAGGCTCATTACCCGCTTATGACTTGCAATTATCAGTACACACTCGTTGATGGCGAAATTTTCACAAAATTTCTATCAATATTGGTGACATGGCATCAGCAAATCGTATTCCGTGGCGACATGATTACTGGAAGAGGGACCCTCACGCATGTAAGGCACAAGAGAAACATACTCTAGTATCAATACATGAAGATAGCGCAAGTTGCGGCGTCTAAATTCAATGCACTAGAGCTAACTGTGATAGACAGGAGTAGTATTTCACCAACAGGACATCAACGACGAAGGCATTCCCGAGCTATGTGAGCGCACGGTGTCATTACAGCCAGAGATAAAATGGTCATGCCATTTGTGCGTATGGAAGCCATCTTTGAACCGTAAGATGTACTAATATAGTGAAAGGATCATAACACCCCAGATGAATCCCAAGGATCCGATGGTTCCTATTCCTTATTCTTTGGACGCTGTCGAAGCCCTCTGCTCGTACTGGAATGTGCCGTATAACTACGTGCCCAGACACGAGGCTCCATACACTTGTAACGCAACCTTCTCCCCGGTAATAGGAGACGAGACTTGGAAAGGTACGTTCGATTCTATGCTGCTTTGGCCAGAAGAACACGATGTCATTCAAAGAGAGCCTAAGCGTCCAGATTGTCGCTCATAACTGAACAAAATAGGCCTTGTCATCTACTTCACCTACAATGCGTTGTTGATAACGTATGATAGCGCTAATCATCGAACGTTCGGCATCTATCTACCAGAAGTTGAAGCAGATGCGAAACGCATCGTGCGACGTATCGAACGCCTCCCTAATTTTGCATTCAACCCACTGTTTGCACCAGTCATCATAGCTGGAATCTCGGTTCACGATGTGGTAAGGCAATCTGCCGAAAGCTTTGCGGCAGGTATTCACATGGAGTCGGCTATGGGATATTGGTCATCAGAGTCAGAAAGCCTTGTGGAGAAAGACTTAAACTTTACACAGATGATAAAGTCTTTGAACACACTCTCGATTGAAGTTGCCAACACAGAGTATATCCAAACCAAGACGATATGTGCCCTGGATTTTCTGAATGAGCTTCTCTTAGTATGGCCCAAAGAACCTGGTGCTCTTATTGGTATTGAGTTACAGGAGCAAGTCAGATGGTTACTGCAACTCACTCGGGATTGGATGGCTGCATCCAAACGAACAAAGGACAGTGTTCAGTCACTGACACAAACTGTATGTTCCTGAACCGAGACACCCAATACTGGCTACATTTAACAGTAATAGATATACGCGACCCTTCAGCAAAGAGACAACCAGCTCAACCATCGCTACGGTGCCGACATGAGACTGATTACCGCAATCACTCTCATCTTCCTTCCCGGAACTTTCGTCGCAACCTTCTTCAGTACGACATTCTGGGATTTCTCTCCTGATAACAGAGGCGCGAAAGTGACCTATTGGATATATTTGTACTTTGTAGCCACAATCGGGCTGACGTTCCTGGTGCTCTTCGCATGGAGGAAGTTCAGTGTTCTCAAACGATCGGCTGCGAATATGGGACAATTAGTACAGCGAATACCTTTGTTGGGGAGGCTGATGACGAAGAAGCGGATGGATGATGAAGAGCTGGGAAAGAAGGGCGATTGAGACATTCTCGATCAATGTATCGTAATCACGGCGAGGCTCTCTTTTCAACTGTAGCCCAATCAGAAACTTCTCAGTCATTACGGCAGTATAAGTTTGGTGGGGCGTATGAGGTAAGCCTCGGAAATTCCGCAATTCGTAGTCCTCAACACACCCCCTTCTACTTTTCGGCACTGAACTTTCCGTCTTCTCCAAGCCGAATGGACTTCAAGCCCGCCCCGTCATCTGACATCTCATCTCCACCCACCGATTCAATCATAGTTTCCTCATCTCTGGATGTCACTCTCATCCGCCAGCTTCTGAACCTTTTCCACAATTTCCCTACGCCCTGTGACATGAGCGCAATTATGAAGTTAACGTACATATTTCGTTCGTTCTCGTTCAACATGATGAGTGAGAGGATATATACGTATGTGAGTATGAAGAACAACTCGACCACAACGAGAGCTGCGGAGCGGTAGGGTGAGCGTGCCACTCGTTCTTGGAGAGTCCAGCTAGTTCATGCACCACTTGATTGTAGTTGATGAACGAGCCTAAGTAAAAGCAAAAGACTCAACATACAAAGACCTGAAACAAGAGCTTTTGGCTGTGATGGAAATAGCGGCTGTTGAAACGATACTGACTTTGTGACAAGATAAGCCGCTAGTGCGCTGAATGCATGTGGTGCAATGCGGTGCGGGATCGCCGACTTTCCTTGATCCTCATCTTCTCCAGCTCTACTGGGAGAAGATGTGCGAATCGTACAAAAGAGTTGATGTCATGCAACCGAAATGACAGAGTAAGATGACGTTGCCTCGTGTGATCAATGTTCTAAAGTCCTACTGTGCTGCAGCAACCATGCGACTACGCATGCACCGCGCCACAAAAGGCCTCCCAACCCCCAGTCTCAACACAGTCTCTGTTGCTTCCCTAATGACGGGCTTTCATCTACCCTTAACTCTACCCCGTACAAATTCATCCCATCCTCAAGCTCCTCATCTTCGTATATCAACCCAATGTCCACCTCATCATCTCTGGTCGCTCTATTGTGCCTACGGCGCTTGTATTTCTCCCACTGAACAGCACATATGCTCACCACGGGTGGGAGAAAGAGAATAGAAGATAGGTCGTACATATCCCAGTATATGATGCTGAAGATTTCTAAGACGAATAGGACAGCGAAGGCGATGGTGACGGGTCTATTGGCGATTTTGAAAAAGTTGATCGGTTCGTCGTGACGATGCAGAGTATACCGAGGCCTGTACTCTGCTTCGGTAGATGTTGTGGAAGGAGTACCAGCGCGTGAAGGTAGTGCAGATGGAAATGAATCCAAGCTTGGGGATCTTGGTGGAGATGGTTGCTTTGGTAGCATTGTGTGAAGTTCATTCTTGCAGCTGACGAGTCCAGCCATTGCGATGTGAAAGACACCTCCTGGTTAGTCTGTATGGAGAAGAAGCGCAGAAAGAGGACCCACAAGTGTTTAATACACCGGGTCGCTGCTGTGCCTCACTCATACAAATCGCAGGCGGTGTGACAGATTATGAAATCTGCCTTGCTGTGCCGTAAGAGACATTGGGGGTCATCCTTGTCAGCCATTCGAAACGAGAAAGACGTAACTCCGCCATGCAGTATAAGTTGAAAGTCCAATGAGGGCGAAGGATCGGTATTATATGGCATCCTTATCACCAATCACCCATTTCGGTTTGCATGCTGCACGAGATGCGCCTTCTTCCACCTCTCATAGCCTTGGCTGACACCGGTCCTCTCGTACTCATCTTGATCCTCATCATCACTTTCATTTTCCTCCACATGTACCTCCCACCCACTCTTCTCCCCTCTTGCAACTACCCGCTTAACCCACATCTTCACTACCCACCTGCTAATGACCAACCCCAATCCACTAACTCCAATGATAAACGGGATTAATTGTCCGATACTGTTCCATCGTCCGCTGAGTCCGCTTATATGATTCCAACGTAAAGTTAATTCAAGTTGCAGAATGACGATGACGTGTATCAGAAGATCGAGGATGACGTAGTACCAACCAAGCCAGATCTTCTTTGGCGTTGAAGGGCTGGTGAGGAGAAGAGAAGAAGCCAGCGATACCGAGGTCCATGTAGGTAAGTATTTCGGATTAGGTGATGCTGCTGAATAGGTAAGAGCAGCGTATGTTTGAAAAGGACCATTGAGTGGGTCGAGGAGCCGGGATTGACGAAGGTGTGAGTAGATGACGAAAGCTTGTGGCGGGAAGCGACATGTCAGAAATGCTATATAGCTGTGTAACTGGCAGTGAAACCACGACGGTGGACACGACTCTGCGCCTGCTGGAGTGCGGTACTTTGGGGGGAAGAGGGTCGATCGTGCGATCACTGGGAAGGTGAGGGGTTTGCCGTCGGTGCTCATCTGGTATGGACTTGCTGTGATACAGTGCTGGATATATAGCTCACTCTCGTAGATTTCGCGGATGATAGAGAGATCTGGACTGTCTTCTAGGGAGTTGGAACCGGCATGAGAGGATGATGCTGATGTTGGGGATGGCGAAGATGAGATCTCTTGAACGGTAATGCGGGAGGACCGTTTGGAGGTTTCCTGGGAAGCGATACGAGGAGAGTATTCCCACTCTGATGTTCGTCGCGCCAGGGGATCTGAGCGCGTGCGAACTAGGCTGAGTGGGCGAGCATGCCCGAAGCTTGATCCTGCCGGTAAGCAACGAGTACATAAAGCTCGAGGCCTCTTTTCATGCGGTCGTGTTTCCACTGAAGCATCATGAACTGAACTACCTTCGCATTCAGTCGCACCCTTCTCTTCTATCGTCTCTTCATCTGCGCTTCGTCGCTGAGACTCTTCCCACATCCTAATTGCGTCCGCAAACTTTCTCCTCTTCTCCCTTACCTTCCAAGCAGTCCACGGCCTCAAGAACTCCACTACCACCCAATAGATCGTGCAGAGTAACACGAAGAGACTCATAGCCATCATGACCTTCCTCGCCCAGCCAAGAAGACTTGTTTTGACAACATACATCATCAACCATGTACCACATGGCGTTGTCTTCATGTCATCCACCCCTGCCCACCAAAACCACACATGCAGACAGATGTTCATAAGTTTGACAATCTCGCACACGATCCGCCTCAAAAAGCTGCCGCGAGAGAAGGTAGCCTTGCTGTACGAGGACTTGGCCCGCACGCCCATCATACAACTCCATGCCAGTATCTGTAGCAATACAAATGCTTCCACGGCGTATACATCGGATGGATTCGAGGCAAAAATCAACGCGACAATAGGGATTGCGACGCTAAAGATGCTGACAGAATCGCGCAGTACTTGGACTTCAGATAGGACGAAGTAGTTTGCGAACCAGACAGTGAGGATTTGTGCGTAGATACCGATACGAATTCCGATACCACAGATGTCGTTGTTGCCTTCGAAACCACACCTTGGATCGAGCGTCGTATGGCTGAGGACGTTGGGAAGCGATCGAAACGAAGTGTGGTGGTACATCAACGCCACGTGGGAAAGGGTAACCGAGAGTAATTGTGACGGAACCTGGGAACATGTAACGAGCCAGGAACGAGATACTACATGTTAGCAACTTCTGGTAGGCATCAATATCGTGTTGCTGCGCCGCACGCAGTCTATTATCTCTAAGCGCCCAGGTTCAGGCGTAGCGAAAGCCTGAGGCAAGCCGTTCGCCACAGGCCCAAGGTGCCGAAACGGCGCGACACCGTCCAACAGCCGCGCGATAAAAGTGCAATATGTTGTAGACCGCGGACGGCAAGAGCTTGCATGCTCACACGCGATGGGCAGAACGTTGGGCGGAAGAAAGAGGCGCAGAATGAAAGATCTAATCGTCCTATTATCATGAGCAGTTATCAACAAGCCTACGAGCTATCGCTCTATTCCCAAACTCCAGAAAGATCCTCCTGCTGTGGTATGCTCGCTCAAAATGTCCCAAAACACCTTATTCCAATCGCTGTTCCCTTATCGTAGGCCGCGTGTGGCATGTCTCCGCTCTCGCACACGCATGCGCTGTCATCGATGGGACTCATGTGCCGCCGTATGTGATGTTTTTACTGTTGCGTTTACATGACAGTGCAAGGAATGCAGCAGCAACTGCAGTCGTCTGTGCTGATGCAGCTGCACTTGCCACCCTGAGGCTTGACGATAGAGCCAGCGGCCGAGGAGACGGAGTTTGTGGAGGCAGGCATTTTGGTGTATGAGTTTGGGCGGACCGCGTGGGTTTTGGAGTGTGACGAGTGGATTGTAGACGGTTGAGCTGTACTTGTTGGGTCGCGAGATGACGGAGTTGCGCTGTGATGATGTCAGTAGTGTCCGCGGCCACAGAGTCGAGTGCAAACATACAGGTTGAGCGATGAAGAGAAAGAGAAAGCTAGGTCAGCGCGAGATGCTGAACGGTTGTGTTTGGGGAGGCAAAGGGGAGATTAATACGGTCGCAGAGGGCATCCAACCCTGCTTCAACGCTGCGCTGCGCATGGCGCTAGGCCAATGACACGCCCACGCTAGAGAAACATGACGTCGCCCCTTGTGGCAGTGAAGGTGGCTAACGCCGCGCGTTCGGTCATAGGCTCTCGACACATGTATGCATGTAAAATAAAACAAACACAGACGAGGTATTTGTGTAAACGTGCATTGAATCTATCATATATCTAGATGGTAAAACTATACGAAAGGGTATTGCTGAACATGAGATGAGGAAAGCCCAATACCGTGTCTCGCCGTGAACATGCAGGTCTTGTTCGCGTCTGGCACTTGATATCTCAGACGTCTCTCCAAGTCGGCTGGCTCTTCTCAGCGAATGGCGTTTTGACAGCTGTGGTGAGTTAGCTAACTTCACGAGAAATGTACGCAGCAGTCTTACCGTTGCTGTCTCCGAACGGGTCATCCTCATCCTCCTCTGGCTCACTGTCTGGCTCGACACGCTGAGGAGGCATAGGGATGCTCGTTGGCCGGGGTGGCTTTGGAGGAGCCGACTCGTTCATGTCCATGCTGGCCATAGCAGCAGATACGTTGCCCTCTTCATTGTCGCTGTCACTGTCGTCATCGATACTCTTGTCCATGATTTCAAATGCCATAAGACCCTTGACTAGCTCGTCGTTGGCATTAAGAAGACCACCAATATATTGCTCTGACTCGACCAAGTGGATATAACGCAAGATTTGGCGACGAAGCTGCTTGCAGGTCTCGAAACGTCGCATCACTTCTGGATTGTCGCTAACTCGCTCTTGCTCACGGTTGATGAGCTGCAATCCGTTGAGCAAGTTTGTGCTAGCGACGTTTGCCGATGCCATCGTTTCGAGCATTTGTCCTTTCTCCCTCTCCAGATTGAATGGCTGGCCTTTGGTTTTCTTCTTGTCTTTCTTGTTCCTGCTGAACAACGAGGTGGTTGCAAGAGGGGTACCAGCGCCGAGTACAACAGGTGTATTGGTTCTTGACGACGACGCCTGTTGTGGCTCCGGCCGCCTGCTTCGAGGAGGAGAGGGCGAGTTATCCTCGCGCTCACGTGCGGCCTCGGCATCTTGCTGTCGCACAATTCGAGATTGCTGTGGTTGGGGACGCTTGGTACGAGGGAGTTCTTTGTGTAGTGCTGCTATTCGCTCAAGTCCAGGCGTTCCCTTGTATGCAACAGCCCATCCTCGAAACAGAACATTGGCCTTCTGCCTAACATCCGCATCAACCGTGTCGTCCCTGGCCAGAATACGAAGTCGCTCGAGGAGGGGCTCGTCTGCAAAAGCTTTCTGGAACCTAGTACCAGCATTCTGGATTAAAGCGTCTAGGATGACCAGGGCGCGGATCTGGCGATGAACATTGCCGTACTTGCTGATGAAGTGTTTAGAGCATGTCGTATACACGTAGGGATTTGACTTACAGCTTCTTTCGCAAAGCTCGTGCTGCTTCTGTAGGACCAGATGCCTGAATGCGAATGACTTCGATGAGATCGACAATTCCACCAACATCCTGCAACGATTAGCTTTAACATGAGATTTGCACGGGCTAACTTACATTCTCCTCGTATTGCTCGCTCGTCAATCGATCTATTTGGACCGTGACAGCCGAGAAAGCGTGTTTCTGCGATGTATCCATTGTCTTAGCGCCTTGTGACAGTGTCCAAAGAAACACAGCGGGCAAGGGTTCTCGAAAATTGGAAGCTCTGCATATGCTTTGGGATCCTTGTGGTGGTGAAGCGTTTTGCGAGAGGACTCTGTTGACGACGAAACTGACAAAGAAGTTGACGAAGAAATTGACACAGACGGAGCTCTGTGATACACGGGAAGTGCTTCGAGATCGGAACAGGCACTGCTACAGGAAGATCTCCTACGAAGCGACTCTCTGTTGAGGAGCGGTTCACCGTCATACCAAGAGGTGTGGGAAATCATGATTGTAATGAGAAGAGGAGTACAAAGGACAAATTGAAGTGGGATGATGTAACTGAAAGCATGGTGTCTAGGAACTCTTAAAGAGAAACCAATCTGAAGAACAACTTACAGGCATCGTAAGTTGGTCGCTTGATTTGACCCTTCAGGATAAGCACCTGCTAAATCTGGAGGCGAAAAAAGCAATACACTCCCGAACAGGATGTTTGCTTGCTTGTCAGAACGAATTTGGACACAATCAGGGTCTGGTGTTTTCAATAAGGTCTGAAAGCCGTCGGAGGGTCCGTTTGAAGGTAGAGATCCGGTGTTACAGATAAGAATAGACGATCCGGGCTTCCACGAACATGAGTTGACGAGTCGTGCAAAGTCCACAGGGTGAGTTGAGCGGCGATGGAAGAGGTTTGAAGCGAAAGTCTATGTAGTAGTGGCTGCCTATGTGCACGCGATAGGTGAATGAGCTTCCTTGATCGGGCTGAAGCTACCTACCTTACTCAGCCCCCACTTGCGGGGTGCAACCACACGTCGCGCGACCTCCCCCATCAGGTTTCTTCACTTTACCTCTTGCACACCCCTCGCATATCGTATCGCCGCGCTAGAACCACAATGAACAGGGCAAACGCGCTGCATCACGGTTGGAGTGCGGAGGCGACGGGTGCAGGAAACGGCGATAGCGCGTGAGAGGCCCGAAGCGCGTTCACTCACCTTTTCCCACCTCACATTGCTTTTGTCTCGTATCGTCTTAACTAACCTGAGGTATGCAGATATACTCAAGTTTCTTCTTCAACCTCTTGTTTCACAGCCATCAATCAGCCCTCGACGCAGTTCCCGACGCCCCAATCACCAATAGCGGCACCCATCCAGCAAAACCAAGCGCGGCGAAGAGCGACCGTTCATGGGCGGCGGCGACATAACCCTGCTGTTGCCCAGTATCTCGGACTTGGTACTGCAAGCGAGCCTACACATCTCGAGATATATGCTTCTTTACCGGCAACGCCAGCCAGCCCACCGTTGAAACCTACACGCAACCGAACAAAGTTGGCTGCGTTGGCTGCCCATGGAAACATATTGGATGATAGACACACGAATGCGGAAGCGAGGGCAACTGTCAATCAACGGCGTGTGTCGGAGAGCTTCCGGGTGACGAAACCTGTACGCAAGTCTGCGACATCCGTATCCAAAGCTCCACCGTCTAGGACCACACAATCGGCATTTATTGACGATGTGCGACCATGGCAGTCAGCAGCAGATGATGAAGAAACAACTTTGTCAGATCATGTTCCTACCACTCAAGCCTATGATGTGATGCATCATCGTTTCGCAAGCTCTGACACTGTTCAGAATGTCAGCCAAGACACCGTGGCCACACGGCCTGTGCAATATTCAGTTGACGCTGGCTTGTTCGTTCTCGAAGACGATGACTGTGATGCCACTGACGCTGAGCACGTTGATCTCGACCTGGCTCTGCAGCAACATGAAACTCTGAAATCCGCGGAAGATGACTTCGACTTTGACATCAATGATGATGAACTGCTCGCATTGATACCTGAAGATGGTGGTACATGTTCTGACCTTGCAAAGCCTACTTCGAAGTCCCACGCGCAGTCCTACAACACGGACAACGACAGACTATGCCCCACTCCAGGCTCATGCGCCGACATTCCTATCATGCTTGAAGAAGTCACCACCAAGACGAGTTCACAGCAATTGTCAAAACAGTTTACGTCTCCAGTCACTCCGACAACGCGCTTGCAGGCCGCATATGGCAACTCAGGTTCCGCGGAGATTAGGAAACCAATCGTCAGGCCGCCGTTCCCTGAATCTGTTCGCGATCGCTCGCCTATTATCGGTCTCTCGTCAAACTCGTTGCTCAGGACGTGTTTTCGCATCGGTGAGGTGATCAATCAGAGTTGTCAAGCATCTAAGTCTGGGAAGCGCATTATGATCGAAATGTACGCTAGAATCCTTGCTTCGGAGCGAACTGGCACAGAGCAACAATTCACATTCTGCGACCTCTTCCATGCCAGGCCGCCTTATATCAAAGGAGCATACAGCGCTGCCATCTGGAAGTCGGTGCCCCTGTTCGAGTACGACTGCAGTAGGCTTTTACAACAAGGGCGGATATGTCGGTGCATTGGCACCATGAAGCGAGAGGGAAAAGTGTGGACCATGACCGTGCTTAACATTTGGGAAGCTACCTGGGAAGATATTGAGTGGGTAGAGGCCATTGTGACCTTGTAGCAGCATCGTGGAAAGTACTTAGGGGTGCTCAAAACAGGGATGATCTATGGGTGATCTAAGCGTCATAATCGACATCATAGCGGCAGCCGTGAGAGAGAGCTCGATATGCAACGAAGCAATGTGTTCACTGCATGTAAGAAGATAGTCCAGGAAAGTGTTCTGACTTATATGCATTTAAAGACACTGTTTCGTTTTGACAGGCTCAGAGCATGGTTCACCCTTGGTAGGGGCTTCCTTCCACGTGATGATAGGCCATGATTAACCGCCCCGCCAACGTACGGGCCATTGCTGTTCCACCAATTTGACTTCTGCTCACAGCACGTTGCTGAGAGAATGAATTATAAGGGTCGTCCTGCCAGATTCACCCTACGACGCAATGTTGACGGCGGCCATAACGCCAGCCATCGGTAGCGAACGCGAAACCACCGACTCTCGCGGTGCAGCCATGATGGAGCCTCAACCTCAACTGGAGACAACGCCGCCAAAGACGAATTCGCCCAAAGCACGGTCTCTCTCGGACAGCACGCCCCGTCTTGAGCCCTCTCCGAAGTTCCGCGAACCCGCACGCATGTCCAAAGATGACCAAACTATCGTCGCCAGCCCCAGTACACCGCGTAGGCCAGACTTCCTCTCGCGAGGCCTGTCTCTGCAAATGCCCCCTCGAGAGTCGCCTATGCCCAGTCCCGCGCACTTCGCCGCCCGTGTGCCCCTCTCTCCACAGCTAGATTCGCGTAATACCTACGCGTCGCCTGCTTCTGTCCTGCCCCGACGGTCCCGCGGCGCTGAGTTCTCAAGAGCCTGCACCAACCTCCACCACTCGACGCTCCCCGACCAGTCTTCGCCCGATTCTTCGCCGACCATTACGCAAAAAGGCATCAAGATACCGCCGCGGAAGCCTCGCTCCAACTCAATGCTGCTTGACTCGCCCAATGTGAGCCTACAGGGTGGATGGAGTCATGGCGATAGAACCGCCCCTTCGAGTTCAGTCGGCAGCATCAACATGATGGGCTCAGAGGACTCGAGTAGTTCTTCGGATGAGGTGGATCCACTGGACCCCGAGGACAACGACGACCCTATGATCATGACTCCACAAGCGAAGACCAACACACTATTCCCAGGGCTCAACGCGGGCAACAACGGTGTCTTTTCGAATTTGTTCTCACCCGGTGGACAGCCCAACTTTGCGAGCATGCATCGAGCGAGATTGCGCAAGGGTAGAAGCCGAAAGAGCTCGAGCTCAGCCAGTGGACACAGCTCCATGGCAAGCCCCGGGCCGGCCTCACCGCCAAATGGCAAAGATACGGGATATTTTGCGCGAGAAGCGGCGATGCGTAAAGCGGGTTCGCGACGAGAGAGCCTTTCCCTTTTTGCCAACGACCTCCACATCTCATCTGGAAACGATAGCGGTGACGAGGGCGGTAACATGCCTCAAACTCCGGGTGTAGTAAGACGGGTGGTTTCACGGAGGGGTAATTTGTTGGTGAGTACATGAATCAGTACAACTATACAAGTTGCTAACTTTACTAGCCAAAGTCAAGACAGTTCGGCCGCATCAGAGCGGAGCTGTTCGAAGAAGCTGCTCCTGTTGACAGCGAATTTCGCCGCGAAGCCGAGATCATTCGACAAGTGAGAGAAAGCGACACGGATCTAGAACGACCCTCGGGAACCGCGCAATCGTCACCCAGCTTGCTGCCAACAGTTCCAGGTCTGGATGGACCCCTTGAGGGTGTGCCAGAGGAGGGCAGCGAAAGCAACATGAGTCTAGATGGATCGACGTCTAAAGGACTTTTCGGTGCCTTTGGCAGTCTACACAGTGGTCGCAATTCGGTCAGCAACGGCTTCTGGGGTTCACGCGCTGCACACACGCCTCCGCCGTCCTTTCCTCGTGCAGAATCATCCGCAATGAGCGAGGACATGAACATGGACTCCCCAACTATAGGCGGTGGGGCATCCAGAGCGTCTACGCCAGGGGCAATGCAGCCTCCCACAGCAGCCGAGGCTTTGAAGAAGTCGAACAAACGCCGGCGGGATGACGATTTCGACGAAGCTTCAATCAAACGTCGTGCAGTCTCACCAGGTGTCAGCGCTCACGGCAGCCCAGTCATCTCGCAGTCTCCTGCACAAAGGGACAGCACTCTTTGGGGCACGAATACCAAGGCCAGTCGGGAAACATCGATAAGTGGTCAGTCACATGGTGAACGCTCAAACAGTGGAGGTAGCATGAGCATGACGCCAACATTGGGCCCAAAGCGGATAGGTCTACAGGGTATGACCGATACCAACGATGGGCTGATGAAGATGAGCATAGAGTGATTGCCAGATGTGGCTTTGTGTAGAATATTTGTGGTATTGATCATGACTTAGCGCGGCGTTTCCGGGTCTACGAGGTCAACAAGGGTCGCTCAAAAATGTATAGATACCCATTGTTAATATCGAGTTTCGACATGAAGTAAGAAAAGCGGATAGCTCCAAGTACACTATGATGTTCTGATGCTCTCCCCTCCACATTTGTGGTCCCTGCACTTCCCGAACCCCACTAAGCGCTCCTGTCCACCCGCAGCTTCGACAACGCGCCAAACAATTGAGGTCGCAACACGAACCCAATCTCCAACTTCTGCATAGCGACATATCGCAGCCATGTCACGCACAGCAGCTCTCTCCTCTTTCGTCGACAGCGCGCCGCCTGGTGAGGTATGCTCTCTGAATCCACGTGTAGCTCCCGCCAGCACATGTATTGACAACAATCCAGCTTGTCGAAGTTACCAAGGCGATCAAGTCAATCCTCGGCGATGAATCAGTCCAGAACGAACTCTCGCCCGCCTTCCAAAAGTACAACGAGGAGCAGTACACCACAACGAAGCTTCCAGGTGGCAGCACCGAAGTTCTAGTCAGCGAATACAACTCGTTAGGAGACGGCAGATACTACGACATCGATACACAGAGCTCCTTTGACTTTGACCATGCGACTGGCAAGGCAAGCGCAGTCCAGAGCTACGTTGTTGAGAGCGCGCATGAGGATCTCCTGTACGTCTCACCTCACACAGACACCCTCTGGCCATACAGCACATTGTTTGCGCGAGCTTAGTACTAACACACACCACAGGAAGAGCCTCAACAAGTCCCTCAGCACCCACGCCTCAGAACACTACCCCAAATCCTCCCACGGCGTCTTCCCCGTTCCTTCGTCCCCCTCTTCCCTCGCCATCATCACTGTCGCAAACAAGTACTCCCCCACAAACTACTGGAACGGCCGCTGGCGCAGCTCCTACATCTACGACACCTCCTCCGGCTCCATCTCCGGCAGCATAAAAGTTGACGTGCACTACTACGAAGACGGAAACGTGCGTCTGCTCACCACCAAGGAGGTCAACCTGAGTGCTGGTGGCAGTGCAAATGGAACCGAGATCATGAGGAAGATTGCTGCCGAGGAGAAGAAGTACCAGGAGGATCTCAACAAGGCGTTTGGCAGTCTGAGTGAGGGCGCTTTCAAGGCTCTGAGGAGACAATTGCCGATTACGAGGCAGAAGATTGAGTGGGAGAAGATCAGTGGATATAGGTTGGGCCAGGACATTGGTGGTGGAAGGAGGTGAGCGTGTGTTGTCCAGTCGATTGATTAGCATAGCGGGTGGTCGAATGCTTGAACGATGAGCAAGAAGAGCGGTATCTTTGAGGAATAGAGGTTACTGAATACGATGCATCCAACAATTCCCATATCCATTACTGGTGGTCGCTTCGCCCCTTTCTACTGATGGTAAGAGTTGCTATTATCGAGGTCGGCTCCATCAACGGACAGAGACAGCAGTCATGATACACATACTTTGGAGAACGACTACGCTTCCCCGAAGAGAGTAGATAGGACGGCTGCTCCTACCGAAACAGCACTTCCATGGCATGGCTTCAGCTGCTGGAGCAAAGAAGAGGGAAATGCGGTACAAATCTATATAGTATACTCAACTTCACTATTCAACATGGACAAATGGAGGAAGAACAGTCCGGTAGATGCTGGTCATTTGCGCAATGGAGTGCTACTTCGAGTGTCTACTCTTCTTCTTGTGCCACCGTAGGCGCCGTTATTAGTGCGTCCCTGACCATTTCGTTAGCTTGATAGAAACACACCAATCCGTCGTAAGGGGCTAGGTTCGAATTTCATGGTATTGTATGACTATACCCGCAGAATCACTGCTAATACTATTCAAGAGGATCTCATTCGAGTTAACGGTTTCTTATCAGTATGGTAGGTGTTACTGGCGTTGTGATTGGCTCATATGCTCTGCACCATCACGATACCAGTGATTGAAATGAACAACACTCAGACATAGCATTGCACGTCACTTACACAAGTCCACAGGGAGGAGATATACTATGCGCTGCGCATCTTCGTACTATTCAAAAAAGACTTCTCCTTACACACCATGGCAGTATCCGCAAATGTGAATTCCGAAAACGTCGCATCGTTACTTCTAGCCTATACACGAGAGAATCTTCCAATAGCACGGCACGTATCACAGCCATGGTCGAGACAAAGAAACGAACCCGAAAAAACATCGTATGGCGGATCGCCAGCTCTGAACGCCATGATTCCCGCAATAACGCCTCTGCACAAAAAACAAATACATATTCCTAGCTCATGACGATCATTTCGTGATGAAGCCCAAGTAATCTGCAACTATAAGTGTCACCATGCTATTAATGAAGTTAGTACTTGGATCCACAGCATAGGGAGTGAGAAAACTTACGCATGCGGCGCGATACGCACGTAGTACGTTCCAAAGCCACGGTAGAATCTTAGCAAACCCTCCTCCTTTGCAACCTTCTTGAAGCAATCAAACATGCCCTTGTAAGGCAATGTACCGTCAGGTCCCTTTGTCTGCTTCTGCAACCTCGTCTTCATGAAGTCGAATGGCAGAGACAGGAATGACGCGAAGAAACCAGCTACAGCTGACGCGGTAAGAGTCTGTGTGCGGGATGACAATGATGTGTTCTTGAGTTGCTGTTTCGCTTCCGAGAAGAAAGCCAATTGACCAAAGTTGAGAGCCATAGCACGGACGACGGTAGGGTAGCTGCCGGCCCATAACCGTGCGACGCCTTCTTGCTTGCTGATGCGGACGAGGGCATCAATGACGGATGTGTAGTTTGCGCGTTGAGCAGCGGGTTTCATTCCATCGGATTGCATGCGGATGAGCGCAAGATCAGCAGGATTACCCACAATAGCTGCGAGACCGCCTGCGGCTAGACCAGCACCTGCACGTTCTTTGAAGCCAATCGCTGTGCCGTTTTCTTTTGCACGTGCGCTGAGTTGCTTCATGAATGTGTCGAAGAAACCCAGACGGGCGGTTGTGTAGACAGCTTGGCGAAGAATACCAGCGCTGAGTCCTGTGTAAAGATCTAGGACCTTGCCTTGTGCAATGATATCTCTGAAGACTGTGACTGGGGTCGGTTTGGGTCCAGTTTTTACGCCTTCTCCGGCAAGTTGTAGACGCACTTTTACCATGTCTACGGGCTGGATTACGGTTGTTGCGGTCATGCCTGCGATACCACCGTTTACGAAGGGTAGTGCTGCGCGCATAAATGGTGTATGTAGGAAGTCTGCAGTAGCTTTCTTGGGGTTCTCAGCAGCTTTGGACATGGCGGAGGATGTGTCTTTTAGAACGGCTTCTGAAGATTGCTTTGCGTTTTCGAGGGCGCGAGCGGCGGGCATCTTAAGGGTTTGAGAGCTGGCGGCTGCTGTTGTTGACATTGCGTTGTCAGTGACAGCCAACAGTCTTGATAAAACAAATTATTTGAAGATGAAGGAAAAATGGACCAGAGGGGTATATCGCTGTCGCTATGCTGCACGAGGATAGAACAAATGTGAAGAAAGACTGGAACTGATGGAGTAAGAAAGTCCACAAAAGAGACTCCATGGCCGAATCTATATCCCAGCATCATGGCACTACGACATGGCGTCTGCGTAAGGTGCTGGCCTGGGCAGAGCCTCAGCCTGAGACGCAGTTCCCATGCGCCCTTCACCGCGGCCGTGGACGTCGCAAGCTAGCCGGCTATGACATAGATGTACAGCTTCCTCCGGCGCACAGGAAAGATTGGCATCGGACGTGTGAGCGCAGCCGAAAGCTCACGCACGTGCGATAGCCCTTCTTTTTCCGATTGCACCCGCGCAAGTAAATTGTGGATGCTGAGAGACGGTGTAGGAGCATAGTTGGGTGCGTACCTCGTGCGCTGAAGTCTGTGCGGAGGATCCAGTCCGCGTCGGAGGAGTGGGGTGTGGGTCGCGGGTTTAGTGGGTATGGTGGTATGCGCTCGACTACCCGCTTTCTAGCATCAAACGACAATGCGACAATACAGGTCAAGCTGATAGAGCAGAAGAACAAAGTTATGAACAAGGCTGTGAGTGAAGATACTCGGAGGACAGGAGTAGTACGATGATCTGTTATTCTTAGTTGTCAACAAGGCCAGCCAGTCGACCGGTGCCATGAATTGAGGGGTGAGCTGCGTTTCCCCGCATCGAAGAGCTGCCCCAACGAGCCACTGAGGTGAACAGCTGCTCGTCCTACGAGGTGCCAATTGCTGATGGGCCAATCGGGCAGCACCGATTTCCTACACTCTGATGCCATCCTTACTTCACAGGTTTCCATGTTGAAGTTTAACGTGCACGGCGGAGCGGCACAAGCTGGGCGCATTGATTGTCGCATGTCCAAGCCATCCGTTTCCCCATGTACCGTTGAGGCTCATTTCTTTGCCCATGGTACACCTCGGGAGATACACGATCTTCAGGCACAGAGAATCCCGTCTCTATTGCGCCACATGCGGAACCGCTTGCATGTGAGCGATGACGTTGGTCGTAACGGCCAGCCCTCGGCCAATCGAAAGATTGCAACTTCAACACCAGAGCGTTCTGTCATATGCCAATAAGTCTAACTATCAGCAAACCTGTGTGGCAGTTAATCAAGATGCGCTGTCGCGATACCCTGGCACTAGATGCAGTGATCTCACTGTGCTTTTCCGGGTAAGATTTAGATTTCCGTAAACACAACGTGCGTCCGTGCGTCGTTCTTTGCCGATGTGCATGATATGCTCTATGCTTTTTACTCGTTGAGTGTTGATATACCGTCGTTTCGCAGATCGAAGTCAACCAAAGGGATCGTTTTGCTTTGGGCGAGACCCTGGATTCTTTGGCGCTCGATGGGGCGGTGTTCAGATCTTGTGCTCAGGTGCGCGGCCAGAGTTGGACTCGGTGACCCGAAGGTATCCGCGGCCGAAGACATCGTGGGTGACGACAAGCTGTGAAGCACTTTGTTAACGGAAGAATATTAAAGCGGGTTCTGCTATTGCGTGGTATCAGATCTGTTGCCGAGGAAATGTCCGTGGACGAGTGGAAGGTCAGACATTTTTCGGCACAGGGTCGGGGATGTGGAGGCGCATAGCCGGGTCTGAACGCTTGCAGAAGGAACGAAAGGCTTGCGAACGTATTGTTGGGAATTCATTGTGGTACAGAAGACTGGTACCCTCTTCGGAATTAAGTGCTATCCCGCATAAACCGCGCAGCTTGTCCGCTGTCTCAACATCTTCTGCTAGAATCGCTAGATGTTTGCATCTTTGGGTATCATTCAGCCCATCCGAAGCCCAAACGCCGAAACAACAGCACATAGACTAAGTTGACATCTCACTGTCACTCGGGTCTCCGAGATCCTCAATATTGCTTGATTGTGTTGGTTGTCGAGTTCTGGGAGCCTGTAGATTTGAGCTCGCATCAGGCATGTCATCGTCGCTACCGTCGATTTTCTGGATTTCCCGACGAGGAACCTTCACATCATCGTCTGAACTGTCACCTTCAAGTTCAGCTTGCTGCATGCGTTTGATCCTGCGCACGAGGATAGGGTCGGTGCGAACGTCGTTTGCGGTGAGCATCTGAGAAGCAATGTCAGCACAGGCACATGGCGGGAAGGGTAGCCGAACAAGTCAGAATGATATGTGGCGGCACTTACTTTGTCGCATCCATTGACGGGACATTCTACAGCTTTTTGGCCGTCCACTCTGTGAGGGCCCTTTCGGATCATATCGAGGATGGCATTCTTCTCGAATGTGTGAGGACACTTGTTACTCGAGTATGGCTCCTTGAACTGCTGATACGTGATGGGACACCTCGTGCTGACTGTAGCCCTGTCGACTACAATGTCATCATCATCATCAAACTCTCCCCGTTGTGTGGTGTCCGTAATGCCAGGCGCTGGCGATCCGGACTCGGTGAACCATGTGTCTTCATGACCCAGTACAGGGCCGTCGTCGCCGAATTTTGCGTCGTGCACCGTACGCTTGAAGTCGCGGTAGTCGTTGTTACGGGCGTAGCGGCTTGTGTGCGAGCGCGCTGTGTAGGCGTCCTTTTCGCGCTGTATGCGCGCTGCAAACAGCTCGCTCGCACCGGTGAGGGCTACTCGAGAACCGTCAAGAGGAGTAGGTCCAGGTGTTGGTCCATCATCCATCTCATCAACATCCCTGTCTCGTGCGTGTGCGCGCTGACTCGCTGCTTGGGTCTGGGTTTGTCGCTGATTTTCGCGCTGCGTCATCTGAGTCTCATACTCTTCTGCCAGTTGTG